CCGCCCTCGCCGCCCGCCCCCTCGCTTGACTCATCCGCCCGCGGTGGCCGCGCCGCGTCCGCCGCCCGAGCCCCGCCGGGATGGGGAGTGAGCCCGCGGTTGCCCGCGGCTGCCGAGATTCCCGCTGACGCCCTCGAGTCCGCCGCCTTCTTCGTTCGTCTGCGGAGGCGCCTAACGTCCCAACTGCGCTTGCAGTGAGAGTCCGGAGAGGCCACTGGACCCCTGAGGCCCCGCGCTCAGGACAGGTGAGGGGGGAGGGAAGGGTGCTGCCGGGGTCGGGGAGGAAGCTTCTTCACCCCCACTCCTCCCTGCTTCAGGCACCAGAGTTAGGGTAAACACTGTCTCCTGAAGTTTGGGAAATAAACCAAGTCCGCCATCAGTTTCGGACTCCCCAGTCCTCGGAGCGCAAGAGAAGCTTTGCGGGGCAGCCTCTGGGAGCCTGGAGCTTTGGAGCGCCTGGCTAGGCTTCTTTGAGCTACACCCTCCTTTGTCTCGGTTCCAAAGAGTCAGCATTTTCTGTGAAGACGTGCACAGCGTCAATTTATAGGAGTCCTTGGCAGGAGCAAAGTGTAGTCAGGGTTTCCTAAAGGCAGTATCTGGTAGTATCTACATGGGCAAAATGGAGAGGCGAAGCAATTATTTGCCAAATTCAGCACTACTTTTCTTCCTATATAGTCATATAGTGTGTCCTTCAGAAAAAAAGCTGAAGCTTTGCAAGATTTGCTTCATTAATCATTCTTTTGCTATAATTAATTGTCCACGCAAGCATTTCACATTGTGTAGGTGTAAGCTCTCTGTGTCTATTTACTGCCCTTAGATTTAGAGGGAGAAGTGTATGTGTGTGATAGATGTAATAAATATAATTCATTATTCAGTACCAGGCATTGGCAATGGCAGAAAGTCAGATGCTTCACATATATGTAATTTACTAATTGGAGTCAATCCCAGTACACCTGAGTCTGGTGTATTTCAGAACTGCATTATGTTGCATTAAAGTGTCTCTTAACCTTGTTTTTTTTCTTCTGAAGACCTTCAGAAGTAGCTGTGGGCAACTGTATGCATAGAAAACATTTAAGGAATCGTCAACTGTTCTTATTTGTCAGTAAGGATATTGAACTCTTTTGGTTTTGCAGTCAAACCAAGTTCTGAGCTACACTTTCTGAAGTGCTTTGTGCATAAATATTACCAGCTCCTGTAAAAGCTATTTACTTTGATGATTTGTCCCGTGTTGCATTATAGAAATACTTATTATCAAATGACCTTCAGTTTGTTATTTGGCTGCTGATACAGGAATATATTACCATTTTGTGAAAAATTGGCTAAATTTTGAAACTTTTTAAACCCTTGCTTTTCCGCTACTGTTTATCTGGAGAGAAGCATCTGCTTATAGTTTCATGCTTTTCAAACAGCTTAAGTGAAGAATAGGAGTCCCTCTAAACAGAAAATAATGTTTTCATTAAGTGGAAATTATAGTTAAATGTAAATATAGTTAAATATAAATTTAATGTTATGAGACTTTTCTTTACTCTTAAAAATATATACAGAGGTGTTAGGAATGATTTTTGCTAACCAAGTCCTGCTAGAGAGCTCATAATTATGGGATGATTTAGCTGTAATTTGTAACCCTGGTTATAATTAGCTTTGTATCCTAGGCTGGGAAAGCCTTCAGTGAAAGAGGGAGTTCTTGTGTGGGAAGGCTCTCTGTGTGATTTCCAGGTGGTCGGCACAGAAAGGCTTTACCTGTTGCTTCTGAGTCGGGTCCAGGTAAATGCCATGTGGTATCCCCAATGCACCCATAATCAGAAGGGATTCTTCAGGAAGGATCATCGTAAGGAAGGATGGCTACACTTGTTATTTTAACTTTGAAGAATTTTTAGTGAAGTTTTGGAATGCTCCAACAGCTAGATTACTATAGTCGGACTTGTGTGGTTTCAGAATTTTGACAACAGCTCACTGGGCAGAAGAAGATACCTGCTGACACGCAGGGGGAGCGAATCTGAACTGATTGCTTAACTTCGTTCATCCCCTGAAGATTCTCAGCATAAAGGAAAAGAAGTTCATATTTAGCTCAGGATAAGAATAAGGATAAAAGCAGATGTCACCTTTTACATTTCTTAAGCAAAATTAGTTGAAGATAAATAAGTCCTCATAATAATGCCCTTATTAAACAGAATATAGTGTCTAAAGGGAAGGCAGTTTTAAAATAAATTTCATTTACTATTACTCTCCCTAAATAGGAGACATCATGGGAAGTCTTCCTCAAGCAAAATGCATTTGGAAAAACAAAAAAAGCTTGTGTAGAGACCAAAAAAACAAATCGCAGTGAGATGGACCCTTCATTTTATTAAGGGATAGATGATTTGCAGTTTTGGTAAGTGTATCTGTTTCAGGACTTAAGATAGGTTTTGTCTGTTCATGTCTGATATGTGCCCAAGCACTCAGAGAACACGGATGAACACATGTTGGGGTGCCCTGCTAGCCGATGGACTGCAAGGTAGCCTCTCCTATGGGAACTTAAAGTTTGGTGGAGAGAAGTCTGGAAAGTGGGCCACAGATCACTGAGCACATGGGATGGTCCTTGAGCATCAGGAGACTGGTGCACATGGGGGAGCTGAGGACTCTGGATGGGGGCTTGGAAAACCTAAGTTGTTGTCCTGACCAAGCCACTGAATGAGTGGCCCTGGGTATGTTCCTTGGTCTTAATGGGCTTCTGCGCCCTTCTCCCATCATCCCCTCATTGACAGATCGAGGGCTTTGGACCCATGATCTTTCTGTCCTCTTTTTAAAGTGCTGAATGATGAGTTCTGGTGGAATTGAGAGGGAGAAGTCAGAGTGTAGTGTGGGAAGGGTGCAGTTAATAGAGTTTGGGTCAAGGGAAGATAGGCAGGAGGCCAGGCTGGACACAGAGAAAGGGTAATAATGATGCTAATACTAGGTAAAGGAGATCTGACCCATCATTGATTATCTGAGCTTGAAATACACAATAAAATAATAAATACCAACTTTTGCTTAGTACTGGATGGTTTTTGATGAATTTTCACAAATAATGGCAATTGATTTTTCACAACATTCCTAAAAGGTAATGAGAGCAGAAAGGTGACAGAACTGGAACTAATACTGTAAAGCATGCATGCACCAGTACGACCCGTTGCCTTTCTGCAGATTTGTAGAGATAGGAGAAGCTAGAACGTGCTTTGGAAACCCTGTGTTCATGGGACAGAGAGATAAGGTGGGTATCTGATTTTAGTGTAGGTTTAAATTTCTGAGTAAAAATTTAGGTTACATTCTGGAAGATAAGTCTCCAATTATGAGATCAAGACCTCCTGAAATGTCTCGGTTCCTGTTGTTGATGTTTAGTGTGATTATTTCTGTGTGCTTCCTCCCCGCCTCACCTCCCTCCCCTTCCTCAGCAGGAATTCTGGGGATTTAACTATTTACAGAGTCATTGATAAGACTCTTCTAAGAGCTTCGAGTGCAGCTGGGAAAAGGAAACTCATATAAAGATGGGGATTTGGGGACCATTTTACTACTAATGGGATATGTTCTAAGAGCAAGTTGTGATTTGGAAACTTTTGTCCCTGGGGGTGAAATTACACAGGAGTCATAGGAACTGAACAAGGTGTGAAGATGTGGATCTCTACATTTCCTCCTGCGGCGCCCTCATCTGCCCAAGCATTAAGTGCATCAAGGGTGGACAGGTGCCCCCCCCCACCCTGTGTCCCTGGCCAAGGGAATTGGTCAGGATTCACCTGGTTATATGTGTAAGGAACCTCTATTTAACTATGTTATGAAAAAAAGGACTTATTGGCTCATATGACTGGAAAATCCAAAGATGTACCTTGCTTCAGTCATGGCAAGAACCCAGAGACTCACGTGAGCTTTGTCAGGGCGCTTTCTCTCTCTCTCTCTCTCCCTGTTTCTCAGTTCCTTTCTCTCTGGGTCAGCTTCATTCTGAGGCCCCTTTCTATGTGCTGAGAAAGCTGACTATCAAGTAGTTCCCGGCCTGCATTCTGGGGCTTTTGAGCCATAGAAAAGAGAAGTCTTGTCTCTTCCAAGTTCCATTCGTAGAGATTTCCTTCAAGGGCTCTGACTGGCCCTATATCAGTCCACATCCATCAGAGAGTGCAGTATGATGAGTGCGGTCTTGAACTAGATCGTGTGCCCCACGCTGTGTACGAGGTGCTGGTGGTGGGGTGAGGAGGTAGAGGCTGGTAGGGACACCATGATGGACAGTTGTGTCAAGATCACAGAGAGGTGTGGGTCTCTGAAGCTACGGATGCTGCCATGCCAATCAAAAACAACATGTCTGTTATCGAGGGGAATTGTCCCCTCCTTTTCTGGGACAGACCCCCTAAACAGTGATGTGGAGTTTGCCCATGCAGGCAGCTCAGGTGCCCAAGACCACTGCAAATTCCAAAAGTGGGACCCTCCTCCCAGCCAAGGCAAAGCCGAGTGATGAAGTAACGCCCTTCATGTCTAGACTTTGCTGAAAGAGGCGTGGTTGCCAGCATATTTCTGACTGAGGAGCCCACCATTTATCTATATCCACATAAATATACCTGTGCTTTATTTCCAGCCTAGCGATTTCATTATCAGAAGCCCTGGTCATCTAGGGATGCCTGGGTGGCTCAGTGGGCTCAGGTCATGATCCCAGGATCCTGGGATCGAGTCCCACATCAGGCTCCCTCTGTCCCACCGCCGCCCCCACTCGTGTTCTCTCTCTCTCAAATAAATAAATAAAATCTTAAAAAAAAAAAAAAAGAAGCCCTGGTCATCTAAAGATCATTAAATTGGAGACCCCCTACCTTAGGCACTACCGATCTAGTGAACGTTTGAACAGGAAAGTGAAGTGATGAACACAGCACTGTTGTTCATGGAGGTCCCGAGTTTGTGGGGGATGGGCAAAGGGGAGGCAGCAGACATAGATTAGAGTTACCACTTAGGACATAAGTCCTAAGATTATAGGTACCAAAGTAGAATATTGGCATGTGTAAGTGACATCATGAGTCTGGTAAGGGTATATGTCAGGATAAAGGAGCATCTGCGTTGCCATGGGAGAAATGAAATGGATCAGGAGGGACCACATAGGAAGATCAGCAGGGCCAGTAGGTGACACGGCTGTGTGCTGTGGGTAAGTACATAGCAGCTGACTGTGTAGAAAGGAGGTCAGTGGTCACTGTGAGTCCAAAGGGCACAACCTTTATGCGTGTAGCACTGACATTTATTGGGGACCTACCTCGTGTGC